TTACTGATTGTAGCAGAACGTGGCCGTGGAAAATGAATTAAGAGATAAAAGAAAATGTATGGGAAAATAAGCAAATCCTATAAACTGTTTAAATCATTAGGTCTCCAGCTCCTGGAGTCATGTTTAACATGCCTTAGAATCGAATGTATTTTTCCCCATAGCTAAAAAATTTCAGTGATGTTTTTACGGCAGTAACTGTATCCTCAGTAAGGGTCAAAGTGTGCAAATACTTACATGCCTGTGTTACTACTGCATTTGGACCAGACTGTATCAGAGCTTCAGAAGGAAGTAGTTACAACTGCTTAGACCCTCAATAGTACAGCAGTACTCACAAGAATCAGTTCAAAAGTTTGGGGCAGGATAGAGATTCTGCTTGTTTTTAGTTTTAAGATTATTGCTTTTCTAGGCCTGAAAAAGGAAAATAGGATTTAAGGTACCAAGCACAGGATGCAAAATATTGCAGCCACCTGACTTGAAATGCTGAACCCACAAAGACTCTCCCTACCATTTCACTTTTAAGCAAAAGTTTTGTTTTGCTTAAAAAGTGCTGGGGCAAAGATACATCCTGTCCCTTATCACCCATTCTCCACCAATCAAATAAATACAGTATCAAGTATCAAGCTGGCATAAGCTCCATAATGTGGTCTCTAGCTAATTCAATAGAAGTGTGCTAATGCAGTTACGTGTGATACAGATCACATTTATACTGACATGTTATTGGATAGTATGCAGATAAGGCACTAGTGAACACAGAGCCTCAAGCTTCAAACAAATGAACCTATCAATCAGGACCAATATGCACCAGCTTTCCCTTTGCTCTTTGTGAATTCCAATGTTTTCATAGCTATAGTTAGCTGGACTCCTGCTTGGGATTCCTACTCAATATTTCATGGTGCACTTGGGTATGTGTCATCAGAGTGGGAATGTTGACAACTGATTTTTGAAACACATTCTGCCATATTATTTTTATGTCTGCTTCTAAAACTGTGTGAAACCACACTGACACTTAAATTAAAAGTCAACTGAAAATCTCCCAAAGATTTCCACCTTTTTTTTTTTTCCTCCATATGGAACCATTTTCCTGTATGTTCTTATTGATTTCTTACCAGACTTCATGCAGAGACCACACTAAGAAAGTATTCAATCCCCGTTTAGCTGTTCCTACTGAGGCAAACATTTGGAGAGAATATATCTTAAATTCTTCCGTTCCTTACATGAAAAAGAAGGGGAAGAAGAGCGTTTGTTTTACAGAATACTAGGAAAATCACTTAGATTTTGCATAAAGGATTCAAATCTTGAAGATTATAGACAATAATCAGAAAAGACAAAACATTTGTCTTCCAAAAGTATCTTGATTCAAAAACTATTGTTTATTCTTCCGCTAAATGTATTTTCCACATAGGAGAAATGCTGAAGTGCTGTGAGGATATTTTTTGATCCAGATCAAATAGTTTTGTATCTTTCCAAAGCCAACCAGTAAATTAAGTTGACTGGATAACTTTATTCCATAAAAGGAAGATGAGAACAACTGTATTTCCAGTATTTTGACTCCAGGGATACAGAAACCTTTTGTTTTGTTGTGTTTTAGAAAAGTCACACATTCAGATCACAGGTAAGAAATGTATTTGTCCATTCAGTTTTGTATGCTTAATTGTCTGTGTACATAATTTGGAGATCTCCTTTTAAAAAGAAAGCCAAAAATTGGTGTAGTTTCAAATTTCTGCATTATGTTCTTAAATAAAGATGCTTATAGCTCAAAGAATGGCAAGATCAAATGATATTAACCAATCATAGGCTCACCAATTTAAATATATGCATTCTGCAAATAAAAATATTCCATTGGAACAGATTTTTATTCCTTTGTGGTAGCCATCAATCAAACACAACACATTGCGCATATGGAAAACTTCAAATGAGATAAAAATGAGGAGAGCAATATTTAATCTTTCATCACTGATCAGTGCTTCCTAATCAAAATTTGACCAAAAAACTCATGAACTGCAATCTAATATGAGCTGGAAAGATAACATCATTATGAAATGAGCACTAAATATGAAATCTCTAACCTGTAATATTTATAATGCTTATGAAGCATTGGGTTATGAAGCATTTATCATTACCTAAAAGATATATAAAATCTTCACACAGTAAGGCCTAATTTTGGCATATTTTAACATTGCGTATAACTGCCTAATAATTTTGCTATTGTCAGAAAATGCCTTGAAGATAAAAAAAATATAATAAAGTAGACAATATAAATTGAATTACATTTAGACAATACAAATTGAAGTTCTTGAAGTCTTGAATATGTCTTGAAGTTAGGTGATTAGGCTCCTTTACTAAGCTTCAAGGAATAGTCAGAGGAGATGGGATGCCAAGTGCCAGACTTCTCTTTTGAGGAATATAAATTCAGGCCCTTTTTAAAAGGCAGAAGGGAGATCCTGGGCAAAAGATACATGCATTATAAATAGGGTTGTGCTCTAAACTCTGTTTAGCACAACCTTTTTATTATTATTTCAGTAAGCATTTTCACCTATTCTGAATTTTATTGTCAGTTCCTATCTAACTTCTAAAAGAAAATTCATATTTAGACCTATACATTACTTGTATACCTGTATGCAAGAAATTGTATATTGTATATTTCTTGTATACTTTTCCCTCTCCTTCCTCTTCTCCTTCCTCTTTTCTGAACAATGTATCCTTTTTGACTCTATCAAGTACAGTCTTTACTTAAAGCACTGGTTGAGGATTTGGGAGATCTTGTTTCTTTCCTCAAAGACTTCCTGTGAAACCACGAATAAACATCTTAAACTCTACATCAGTTTTTAGATCAGATAAGAAAGTGTACCTTTATGTTTATGTACTTTACAGAGTTTCCTCTCTCCCTCTGCCTACAGTTCTTAATTGTGAAGAATTTTAATCCATTCATGTTTGTAAAATATTTGGGGATTTCAGGATGAAAGGCAAAAGAAAAGCAAAGTATATTATTATGTGCTCGAATGCTTTAATTAAATCATCATGCAATGGTTTCGTATAAACCACTCTTCAGTGGTTCACATTTAAGGAACTTGCCTCCCCTCAGAAAGCCAGAGAGTAGCTTTTCTAGACAGCAATTTATATGAGGATCCTGATTTCAGGTGCTCCTATCAGGCCTGAGATGAGTCTCTCTTTCTCCAGTAATGGTGGAGGGAGCCTAGGCACATTAGCTACTACCTTTGTGAATAAATTCCTTTGTTCCCTGATGTTAATTATATACCTTATTTTGGTATCAATACCGTCTTCTTAAAATGCCAAGTAAAGCAGACTGGTAAATGAAAGTGATCAGCTGGTCTGGAGCCATAAACTTTCTGCTTTTGGGATTATGAGGATGGGCTGTGAAATTTTCTTTCCCTTCATTCAGAGGTCTCTTCTAACGCACTTAGATACCAGGATATTTCAAGTGTACTTGTAATACTGGGTAAGTTTTTCAAATACAGCTAAAGAGAATTTAGCTACATAAAGAGCATAAAACATGTGGCTATGGTTTAAATGTTTTTCTAACATCCACTGCAGAGTTTTGATCATTCTAATTTTATTGCCTTTGTCAGATTGCTACTCCTCTCTGCTGCAGGCAACTGCTTCATCTACCTTGTAAGGCCTCAAACCAGAGCCAGGCTTGGTTTTGTACCCTAAGTTTATGCACATGCAACACACTGCCCTGGCAATAATCCTAGTCTTTAGCAGAAACACTAGTTTCTACCTGTTCTAGGCTATGGTTCACACATCTCCTTTTGCTACCTCCCAATGGATGGACACCTTCCATGATTTACCCTCTAAAGGATAAAATACCCTACTCTTCTTGTCTCTGGTTTATAACTCCTTCAAGTATCATATCCATAGTTATGCAATGATGAAGGATACAGGGTAATATACGTATCTACTATACAAATATAGAACTAGTTGTGTAAAGGCAAGAAAATTCATTAACGCTGAATACCTTATTCATTATAATCATCTAGTTTGGAAGGTCTTTCTATGGGTAAAGGGATCTGAGAAACAGATGAGAGATTATACATTTGCTACCATATTCATACAAATGAGCCTCAAATAACAAAAAAACAGGGCCAACCTGCCGAGATTAGTTTGTAGATTACCACAAACACATCAGATCTGGAAACAAATCCCACTAACTACGCAACAGGTATTCTGAGTATGGTGAGCACGCAAATCTTTTACGCACAAAGTTTTTAAATGTAGAAATTAACTTTCTTTTTTTTTGTAGGCTTTTTTACATTACGATTTTAATTAATAAACATTTATGATTAAACAGAAAATATTTAACTTCATCTCCAAATGTCACAAGACATTTATTTTTTGATACAAAAACTATCACCTTTTCTCTAAACATCTTTCACATTGTGGACCAGTTATTTAAGGGTTAGACCTGAGGTTAGAGCTACTATTATGCACCCAGAATGCCATGGCTTTACAGATAGTGAACTATCTTTTCAGGAACCTTCATTTCTATTTCTCTGATAAATTTTTGTGTTATTTATGTGTTTCTCTCTGTGGACATTGTAAAGTATGTTTTCTACCCCTCAAAATGGCCAAAATTTTAACATAAATCAGCTTAGATGACTGAGGAGATGAAGAAGAATGAGAAGATTGCTTTGAGGAGAGGAACCAGCAGGCTATAACCTTAGAGCATATCTATCTCAGAATGGATAAGTAGAGCGTTCTAGGATCAATGGCATTTGCCCTGAATTCAGGAGGAAAAAATGGGTCTTTCTTCATCCAACAATATTTAGGATCCCACAACCAAACTTGTTAATGAAATTCCCTTTTGCAGTTAAAAATAAAAAGCCAAAAAATAATGAATATGAATGTGAAAGAAAGGCAATTTGATGTTTGTAATTATCGAAGTAAACTCCACGACCTGTTGAATGTATGCAAAATGGACCCTGGATGGTGTATATAAATCTGGCATGTTCACATAAGAGCAAGTGTTTCAGACTTTCTTTTGGCAAAGCAAGTCACCATTTAGGGTCCCCACCATGGGCAACAAGGGGGCTTCGCTGAAAGGTAAGACTTTTGCCATTCATTTGCTGTTAATTTCTATGCTTCTTTAAATTTAAATTGATTTAGGAAGTAACTGAGGTTAAAGCTGTGGAAACTGAGGTCTTTCAGCCACCAGTAACTGGAAGAAAATTCCAGTACTGGTGAAAGCTGCCTCACTTCAAACTTTTGGTGTTCAAAACTTCAAATTAGAAGGCATCTTGATCACTTTTTCATTTGATCCTAAGACTATCCTTGTGCCAATGAGTGTCACAGATAACTGACTTGACAGATGTGGCACCTGGACACCAAGGGCAGGATCCAGACCTCTTTGCTACTGCCAGAAGACAATGACAGAGTCATTATCCACGAAGTCCAGAAGTAGCCTAGCAATTTAGCATGGAAAAGTTTTAAAATAATATTTAACTTCCTAAGTCAACAGTTCTCAGGTTTTCTTATTCAAAGCATTATTCCCCAGAATGCGCTTCAACCTACAATATATCTTGTTCATGGGAAGGGAGGAGGTCTCACTTCAGCATGGTATAAGTGGGGACACTTTTCTTAAAACGACAACTATAAAGAAATCTGTTACTTGATAACAGGACATGATTTATGGACTACATTTGAATTTAGACTGATTCAACTTATGTCTGTTGAATCAAAGTGCATAGCAGACCAAATTCCAGCACTGAAACAGTATTCTCAGAACAGAATTCTTTGAATGAGTATCTCATGTACCCAATATTGCCTTTAAAAGTTGGGCTTTGTGCATATTTTGTTTTGGTGGGTGGAAAACTCGACCCTGTTAAGTTAATATTAGAGGTCTAAACAGGTGATTTTTGTCTTTTAGAAGTTCCCTAAGTTTCAGAAGCTCAGGAAAGAAAGTCCTCTATGTTCTCTCTGTTTTCTTAGCAATAGGCAATTTAGGGTTAAATGCTAAAAAGCAAAATAGCACAGCTGCTGGAAGTCTTCTGAAAGAACTCCCAGGACAATCAAAACCTTAAGAGAGTGACCTAACCACCCTCCCACAAAAGTAATTTAAACTCCAAATGTTTGCAAAGAAAAAGATCTGTGGGAGATGGAAGAGGGAAAAAAAAGAACAATGTACTTTCCAAACTTATATATTTGTGCAAATATAATTATGTATTGATATATTTACACAGCGAAGAAGGGTTTTTTTGTCCATTTATCACTATGTAATAAAGTAAGGCACAATGATAAGACTGTTCTGAATACAGTGGACTATAACACAAGTTGTTTTGTCCCCTCAACCTGTAATGCTCTTGGCTACACAACTAGGATGGTGGAAGGGAGAAAGGGATAATGGAGCTATAGCACTTTCCTCCATCCATTTTCAGCAGCTAGTGCAAGGGGTACTCTGAGCCAGGTAACTGAGCACAGGAAACATCTTTCCGCATTGTGATCTGTTACTTAGAATTGCTTCTAAATGCAGTTCTGTTTTGGTGTATTTTAAACCTGAATAGGTTTGTTGCTGGTGGCTCTTCTGGTGTCCCACATGTTTCTGACAAAGGAAGGAGTGACGTCCTTGCCAATCTGTCCCAGTGGATCCGTCAACTGCCAAGTCTCCCTTGGGGAACTTTTTGATCGGGCAGTTAAACTTTCACACTACATCCACTTCCTCTCTTCAGAAATATTCAATGAATTTGTAAGTACTCTGCCTTTTTTAAGCACAACCATATGTTAACATATTAAATCCTTCAGTAAGTCAACAAATATGACTGCTTTACAGAAGGTGATAGTCACAGCAGTGACAACATCTACCTACAATTTTGACCATTACTTAGTTCCACAACATCTCTATTAGAATACACCATTTTCCCATCATTCTTTATCTATGGGACAAATTTTCCTTGGCTGTGTGCCAGCTTCAGTCTAAATACTCACTTGAAACTTTTGACCTTCACAGCACAGAAATAGTGATAAAAGCAATGGAGCAACACTTAGCTAGTATACTGTATGAATCACAGCTCTTCTTACTTATTTCCTTCAACGATGCCCGTTCTTGCTGACCTGCAGGACGAACGCTATGCCCAGGGCCGGGGGTTTATTACAAAAGCTGTCAATGGCTGCCACACTTCCTCCCTCACCACTCCCGAAGACAAGGAGCAAGCTCAGCAGATTCATGTAAGTCCAATTTCTAATGCGTTCCGTGTGAGATGGAGGAGGTGGGGAAAGGACAGCGAACACAGAGAGAGGGAAATAGTTCTTTCAGAATAGAAAAGTTGGGAAGAGGAAAGCCAGGAAGAGAAAAGCCTGCCCTCCTCCCCACAAAAAAAAAAAAAAAAAAAAAAAAAAAAAAAAAAAAGAAAAGTTGATTTAACATTCGCTCATATAAACTTGCAAACTATAAAGAGTATATAACTTAAATAGTTCCTGTATGTTGCATTCAGCCATTGAATCTTATTTCCACTCAGCCTCATGGAGAAAAATCAGTTCCTATGGACTCAACACACTACAGTCTTCAAACATTATATTATAACATCTAACAAGCAATTATTAATAAACAGAAAAATAGATTGGCTTTATAGTTAATACTGTGTGTGAGCAAATGCCTTCCCAGGAACTGAAGGCACTGTCATTACCAAACAGATACTGAACAGATATTATTGCAATTACCAGTTGGTAAAAGTGATCACATCGTCACTGAGGTCACCCAGGTCATCGTTATCGTCACCCAGAGACTTTAATGCAAAATATGGCAAAGTACTTATAAAGAGAAACATGCTACATATGTCAATTTAATAAGATAAAATGGATGAGTATAGTCTTGCTCAGCCTAGGCTCACAGATACAATTTTAGAACTGAAATACCCTGGATAAAAAGCAAAAAAAAAAAAAAAAAAGTGAATGGGAAAAATAGAAGAATGAATGGGAAAGTGCCAGAGATACATTTTTTTATCAGTTTCAAGACAAAAATAGTCTTGCAACCCTTGCTGCATCATCTTCTCAGCTTGTAGAGAGGGCTCAGAAGTCCTTATGGGAGCACTGGAATTCACAGTCCTGAGAACAGAACAGATACCTGATGGTGTTAAGATGCAGTGCATCTAGGAAAGAGGAAATGGTTGAAAAGCACCAGAGCCATGAGCTTTTTGAACTTTTATTTGCCCACAAGAAAGAAACATTTTAAAAACAGAAAAGTGTAACTGGAGATGACTTATACAGAGGTAATAAAAACTATTAAGTGGTTTACCACAATAAGCATCTTCCATTAAAAGAAAAAAAGTCATAGGATTTAAAAGGTTTATTAAAAATCAGGTGATTTTTTTTCTTAGAGATGAAACACAGTTGTGTTTCAACTAGCCTGTAGCATGCAAAAGTTTTAGTGATAATTTCTATTATAATATTATAACCATTTGTGCCATTATAGTAAAGAACGTTGGTAAGAATTATAAATTGTAAAAAAAAAAATTGCAATTGTGTAGAGGTGTTGAAGACAGAAAAGTCACTTGAAAGAGGCCACACTCAGTGGAAGGTCTCAGAATAATTCCCCTGACACTACAGAGACTGCAATACGTGACTCACACTGGCCTTTCTGTTTTAACTACTTCTTCTTAGAACCTGGTGGTGGGTGTGCTGCGCTCCTGGAACGATCCCCTGGGTCACCTGGCATCCGAAGTCCAAAGAATCAAAGAAGCTCCCGACACCATCCTCTGGAAGGCTGTAGAGATTGAGGAACAAAACAAGCGACTTCTGGAAGGAATGGAGAAAATAGTTGGGCGGGTAAGTATGAGGCCCAGCCCATTGCTGTAAGAAAGCACCTACGATGGGAGGCTATCCAAATAAGAAAGGAAATGGTAGATGTCAAGGGGAAAAAGGGAGCCAGTTACAGATAGATGAATCCGAGAACACGTCAGCTGCAACTTTTTGGGGTATCTTCTGATTTGTAAAAAGACCATGTGAAGTGCCTGGCATAGAACAATCCAGTACTAGTTTAATAGCAGGTGTAATCACCAGCATTGGCGATCTGCATTCTTTCAGTGTTTTGAATGTGCAGTCCTAAATGTTTTTAGGATGTGCCTGTGCTCTTTTCGTATGTACATATTTAAATGTTTGTTGTTTAAATGTGTACGTGTCTGTATACATAAAGGTATTATGTATAGTTTTAAGAAATTGAGAAATTGCTTAAAATTGTTCTGCCTATCGCAAAGATGTGGACTATAACTAACTCATCAAGGCAACTTTCCTTTCTTTTCCCCCAATACTGGTTCCTCAGAACTCTGGCCCTGACTTCGCTCTCCTTACTTTTGTAAGGTTAGACCACAGGGTTAGCCTGACAAAACCCATGTTCAAATACCCTTTGTTATCAGTAATTGATTGAAAGCTTTCCTGAATAAAAGCAGCTCTAGCTTGTTTATTTTTCAAGGGCCCTCTGGCAGACCCTATATATCATTCTGTCAGTAAGCTAGATGTTAATAAGAGTTTCTGACTTTACTGGCTGTAGCTTTGCCTGTGAACAGTGAACAGCCTTAAGAGTGCCACCATCACTATATCTTCCACCTTCATTCCACTGGCTCACACATGGTCATTCTGGCGTCAGTCTATTTACTCAGAAACTTTATCCCATCCAAGCCACAAATGCATTTATCAGTGTAATCAAACATGTTTCTGTCCCATATCCAAGTGTAAAATCTTGCAGAAGGGGATCCAAAATAACAGTGGAAGTCAGGTGCTGGTACATAACTTGTTGCCACCTCCTCATTCACATTATTTACAAATGGGGTTTGGAGACTAGACTGGGAAATTCATAAATGTCAAACCATGGTTTTGAGTGATAGCAGGTCTATTGCTTCTTTCTCCAAGTGTGAGTGAGAGAGACTCCATAGATAGTCTTCCATGTGCTTTCACAAAGTATAACTGGTGGGAAATAGGAACTGGTGGGAAAAGTGTGACTGGTGGGAAATTCAAAAGTAGCAACAGGCACAATTTTCTACATGCTATAAAAGGTAGATTTCTACAATTTGAGAAAATGAATGATTATCTCTTTCAAATGAGGAGACCTAAACCAATATTCATGTCAGATTCTAGCTGATCCTACATGAGTTCCTACATATAGCTTTCTAACATGGTGACAGGTGACTGTGTCAGATTTTTTTTCTAATGAAATAAGACGTGAAGATGTACTGTTTGAAGATGTGTTTGATAACATGTTCTTGAAGCTGCCCATAGCAGAGACATTGTCTAAGAGACAAAATGGCAGATAGTCACAGATTTCTGAGAACAAATGTTTACAAAGATTTTAAGTTGGAGGAAACCAAAAAGAGATGCCTGATGAGCCCATACATTCCATTTCTTTGGAAAGTCAGATCCCGCTCCATATTGGCAAAATACTATTGGTGCTGTTAAGCAACTTGCATATTATAGGGAAGTAAACTGAAAAATCTCAGAGGTCCTCGCAAAATCACCATGAGGATATAGAACATTAATCAGGGAGCCACAACAGAAAATACCTTACAAGGTGTACGCTGCAAATTAGTGTTCCTCAGGGATGATATTTCTTAATAGTTTGTTCTACCTCCAGCCAGTTTCATTAGTACAACGTCATTTTGTGTCTTTAGGTTCATCCTGGTGACATAGGAAATGAAATCTACTCTCCGTGGACAGGCCTTCCATCCCTGCAGCTTGCGGACGAGGACTCGCGGCTCTTTGCCTTTTACAACCTGCTGCATTGCCTCCGCAGAGATTCCCACAAAATTGACAACTATCTCAAGCTTCTGAAGTGCCGCCTAATCCACGACAGCAACTGCTAAGTACTCGGGGGCCAAATCACCTGCCAAAATCATTTAACCCAGCACTCTACTTGCTTTGCCATTTTTCATGGGAAACTTTACAAAAGTCATGCTGTACTGTACCAGGATTGGCAGTAACTTTCAAGTAGTTTGTGTGGATTCTGGCTGTAACTAATAGCACCATTTACCTTGGTGTTTTAAAATGTTATCATAAATTACTGGTATGACAAGGATACACTTTTCTGTCTCATCACCCCACCTAGTAGTATTTCAATGATAACCAGATCGTGCAGATACAAATAAAAATATTTCTAAATTCAAAATGCATAAACCTGAGTGGCATCAGTGAATAAAAAATAGCTAATAAGACTTGCATCTTTAGCAGCAGTTTCTCCTTTTGAATGTCAGTCTCCAGTTAGTTATATATTGTGAAAGTTCATGCTTTCATTCCTCTCTATCCAAAAAAAAAAAAAAAACACTAAAAAAGGATGAATACCAAAAAGCAGATTAGTCACCTGTTGTACCAAATTATCCTAAACTAAAAGTATGGTTTGAAATCCACCTATCGTGCTTAGAGGCCTTACTCAGATAAGAAAATTGCTTGAATAAGTAAAGGAAAGGTAAGCCTAGCTAACACAGTTTTTAATTACCCCTGAAGTCTATGAAGAGAAAAGACACACCTGGAGCTTTAAGGACACATCCACAATATCTTGTTGTGCTACTTCCATTTCTCTGTTAACTGGAGAAGTCAGTAGAGAATGTTGGAGAACTCTAGCAGGTCATTACACTTGAGGCAATAACCTCAGAGTAAAGAAACCAACAGTTTTCAGTAGGATACAATAAGAGGTGCCCAGTATCCACTCAGGATCAAATCCTTCTACCCTTGACATTCCTCACAAGTCATGTCAGGGTTGCAGTTGCTCAGGAAAATTTGGGGTTATAAAAAAGCTCTGCAGCTGAGCTAAGCCTTCTGCTGTCCTAAACCCAAAACACCTCTTTCATTTCGTGTTTAGTCATGCTCAAAATCTATTGGGCATTCAATTGAGAAATGGAAGACAAGAAAATGATTGACTACTTTTGAAAAGAAAGGCTTACAGTCATACAACAAATAAGCAGGCAAATGAAAGCTGGAGCCACCAGACACATCCATATACTATCTTTGTACGTTACACACAGACAAGATCTCGGGTTCATCGCACAGTTCAGCAAAGAGGAGCTTAAATGCAGATCAGCTCCTCCCGGCTTCTCACTAAGGCAGCTGAGTTGCTCCAGAGTTGAGCCAACTGGGAGGAAGACTAAAAGACCAGGAGAGTCTTAAGCTTCAGATTACTCAGACAGAATAAGCACACCCATAATCATAGAATGGTTAAGGTTGGAAGGGACCTCTAGAGTTCATCTAGTCCAACCCCCCTGCACACGCAGGGTCACCTAGAGCACGTGGCACAGGACTGCATCCAAGCGGGTTTTGAAGATCTCCAGAGAAGGAGACTCCACAACCTCTCTGGGCAGCCTGTTCCAGTGCTCTGTCACCCTCACTGTTAAGAAAATTTTTCCTTAAGTTCCTGCGGAACTTTTGATGCTTCAGTTTCTGACCGTTTCCTGCAGTTCTATCAGTGGCCATCACTGAAAAGGGGCCATGCATTTATTTAAGTGATTAGACACTGCAACTGCTAGAAAGGTCTCATTTTAACCATTTCTATTTGGGATACATTATTTGCATTTCTCATTGTGTATACTGTGATCTGTGAGCCTGTTTGTATCCTCAGCTATTCACTGCCTCAGATATCCAGGTTTCATTTGGATAAGTATAAACTGAGTGTATATATACAAAATGTATACAAAATAACCTGTACAGCAAATAAATTCCTTGCTAGATAGTCTTTCACAAACTCCTAAATACACATGCAACAGCAGTTTAACAGCCACAGCCATATAGCAGCATTGTGAAGGAAGCAAATGGGTAAAATTTACCAAGCAATATGCAAGTGCCCAGACTAGAATTTAATCTGATCATAATATCTCTTTTTTATATGTCAACAGGAAAAAAAAAAAAAGGTATTTTAATGGGAGAAAAAAAAAGGCAAGAAGTCTCCATAATTATCATAAGTGTTTAGAATTTCAATATGAGATCTTGTTCAAAAGAAAATATGAACGGGGTTATTTTGTAGTGAGCTGGCAAAGACATTATACCTGAGTAAACGCCTGCCTCAAAATCTTTCCTCCAACATGGGGAGCACACCCCATATTAATCAATTGTATCAAAATCTAAAGCTGTATTTCTACAGGCCCACAAAGATGGGGAATTCTGAAGCTCCTTGATCAATAGGGCAGGCATTTGTAACCTTACAATGACAAGACTAGATCTAAAGCAACAGCTTCTACTAACTAACTGCTTAAAAAAGGCAATGCTTAAACAGTTGCTTAAGAGCACACACTGCCTTCACTGTAGCTTGGTTTGGTACATCTATTTGTTTTTACCTTCAGAAGGAAGGAGAGAAGAGAGTGGCAGAAGAAGATTCTAGACAACTGAAAAGCTATCTGGTTTGCAGGTATTGAGCTAAGGGGGCATTTTAAACTTGTTAATATCCTGAGACTTCTCAGCTGTCGCAGGGACAGAAAGATGAAGAACACCCCGAGCAAATTCAAACCTCTAACCGTCCTGGCAAGCGTCCTGCTATGGGCAGCACATTCAAGGTGCAGTTGCTAGCCTGAATGCTCAGGCTGCAATACAAACATTGGCAATGCTTTTTTATTATTATTTTTTCCTATTGCTAAAAATAAGAACAATACATTCTTATGTCACTAGTATTTTGATAATTACTACACGGTCGTAAGACCTAAACAACTATTGTCTTTTATCCAAGAAAAACAGTTACACAGACAAACTCTTATATTTTAACAAAGGTGAATTAAGAATAATCTTGTTCCTTCAAAACGAAAGCAGCAAGTATCAGTTAAAAAGATTCAACAACTTTCAGCTCCATATTTTCTGTACTCAAAAATGCTCTTTTTCTGATTGTACGCACAATAACCAAATTAGCTGTACTTAAATGTCTTCTACTTTATCTGTTTCTGTCTGTTTTGGATGGATCAGTAAAAGGAGAAACGGAAAAAACCATATTGATGAAATTAAGAACGATATTCAGACTTCTTGAGGTGGCACCACACTTAGGATAAGACCTTGTGACACAAAATCTAAATGGTACCAAGGTCAAACCAACTCATCACTGGGACTATCACTGAACACAACAAAGCAATAGGCATACGCAAAAGAAAAATCCATCTTTCTATTTTTTTCTAGACTTGCATTTAAATCTAGGAGTCCATCCAAGTTTAAGTGGAAGTAGAAAGAATTTTGAAGGTATTTCAAAACCAAGAAGGGAAGCTGTTTCTGACAGTACATGTCATTTGCAATCAACTGATTAGCTAGTAATATGATAATCTCTTTGACATCCTTTTTTTTTTTTTTTTTTTTTAACAAACAAAAGGTGTCCAAAAACTGTTGCTCTCTTTCTGGCAGAAAGAGATAAAAAAAACACTCTTGCTCGGCCCCCAACACCTCGTTGGTACAATACACTACCTCCACAATGTTGTTTCAAAGGTGATCCATGACTCTAATAACAAGGCACACTGTGTGGAAACCACGCATAATGTCTAAGCTTAATTTCTGAACAATGGGATGTCCCAAAGGGAGACATGTATTTAAATGCAAAACATTTGATTATAAATAAAAAAAAACATTGTCACAAGCAACAAATGTATGGCATAGATGTAACCATGGTAACAAACTTATCTATGTATCTGTACAGTATCGAAATCAAATACCA